AATATTTGTCAAGAGTATTCGTATATTTGGACAAGGAAGACAAAGAGCGCGTCGCATATTTTATACGAATGAGCGAATATTTTTGCTAGATTGCATTGACATCCAATAATATTATAATAGTATTTATTGGATTGAAGATATCACGTCATGATCATATTTACGTAGTACACTGTTGATGTTTGTCACTGTCAATCTCTCATACATTTTGCTAACTCTAGCTTCGCATATAGTAGGGTTAGTGCATAAACAAGGAGTTTACGTTGAAGCATGTTATTTTTTCGTATCAATTAATTACATAGCAGCTTATCATTTTTCTTCTAAATTGAGTCTCCAAGAAATGTAAAGGATGATATAATTAAGGGGAAAATGCATGAAAAGGAAACCCTAATTTGGAAACGTATTTATTTAGTTGGCATAAAAAAAATTAACTTGTGTGAAAGGAAATCATCAATATGTTAGAGAAATTTCGAGGAATAAGCTTTTTTTTTCCCCTCTATTGGCTTGGGGCGGTGATTTGGAAAAGATCGTGTGAGAGAAAATACGTGCCCTTTTGCGCGAAAATTCGGTTTACATTTCTTGTAGGGTAATAGTTTTTCAAAAACGCTATTAGGCTAATAGTATTAGTCCATGCTATCAATGAGTTTTATTCTTGTAGTGTTATAAATGAAAATTCTTGTGACACCATACTCAACAAATATAAAAATAACTTGTAAACTGCTAGAGTATTGTACTATGTATAATATATATTGATAAATTACGTACTTGTCAAAAATTTGTGACATTATGGGTGCGTTTGGAACTCGTTTAAAAATGATTTTATTTTTTATATGAAAATAGAAATAAAAACGTTTTTAATCTCAGATAGAAATCATTTTTAAAAATGTGTTTAGTAGTTTTATCAAAAGATTATTTTCAATATAGAAAAAATTCATTAATATCTCTCTCTCTACTCGAGAGAGGAAAAAATGAAAATAAAAAATGAAAAACGACTAAAAGTCATTTTTCATTTCTCTCCCATTTTACACTAAACAAAAAAAATCGTTTTCATTTCCGTTTTTTATTTTTAATTGTGTCAAACGCCGTTTCTTTCCCATTTTCATTTTTCTTTCTCGAACAATGTGAAAAATAAAAACCAAAACAACTTCATTCTTACGTAGGTACTATTATCTTATTTGATCAATTTGTTTATATTTTGCAGCACCACAGGGTTACCACCCTTGTTGCCAAGTACACCGGGAAGCCACTATCTGAAATTGAGAACTTAACAACCCTCCCTAAGTCTTCCTTAGGTCTATCAGTACCTTTAAGAAGTTTCCTAAACAACCGTGTGGCAATGAAAATAAGAAACAATCAGGAATTCCCTAATCACCAAATGAATGGAACCATCGATATGGAAAGAGCCCTTATAGTGGAGACTGCGGCAAGTGCTGTGGATGAGGTAACCAAGCTTTTGCAGATAGATGAGCCTCTCTGGATCAAGTCCGCCTCTGAGGGCCGGTGCATTCTTCACCGCGGCAGCTATGAGAAGATATTCCTGACGAGAGCCAATTTTAATATAAGAAGCTTTACCAATGGTGCTCGTTTCGAGTCTTCCAAGCATTCCGGGATCGTCACCATGAGTGCCATGCACTTAGTTGACGCGTTTCTAGATTCGGTACGTATTCTCAATAAGCTATGGGAAATTCTGTGGTAGAGTATACTTGTCAGTCGTAAATATTTTTGAACGTTAAACTAAATATAGAATCATGGAGCTTCTCTAGTAGGACCAATAAAAATGAACTGTCGGTAGTTCTCAGCTTTTTCAACTGTTAAATCTGCATAAAAAATTGTCCATTCTGTATATTTTTTTTAATTTGATGTGCCATATCTAGCAGTTAAAAAACTGGTTCTGTCAGTATGTTGGCCTACCAGAAAAACTCCCATAGAATTATACTAAAGTTATGCAGATATACCTAGCGGAACTTATATAAAAATAAGGGCTGTTGAGAAGCATTCACTACCACATTATTCCTCAAGCGCTAGTTTTGCTATAATAGTTCATACATTTATTTTCTTTTTTCTTTAAAAGTCAAATAATTCCGAATTTATTTGTTCTTTTTTTCAACTGTATCCTGAATTTATTGATATTGCTTAAAAAGCTGTACCAATAGAGATTATTTTCAGCAAAAATATTTACAAGATATATATGATAACTACGTTATATCTTTTTAAGGATAAATGGGGAGATATCTTTCCCACAATTGTTACAAAGGAGAAGACAATTCAAGCACTTGAAAAAGGAGCATTGGAAAACAGACACGGTTCCTTGCATATGGTAATTGCATAAAAAGCAAAAATATTTGTTTGATTAATATATTGGTGTTGGGATAAATATTAACAATTTAGTTTTGCACATGTAATAAAATTTGCAGATGTATGAAAAAATGCACATCCTTTCACCTCTTGTTCCGTCACGGGAGTTCTGCTTTCTCCGCCATTGCCGGCAGATCGAGCATGGCACTTGGGTGATTGCCGATGTTTCTTATGATTTCTCAAAGGAGTGTGTCTTTCCTTCTCGTAGTTGGAGGCTTCCCTCCGGCTGCATGATTGAAGATATGTCAAATGGCTCCTCCAAGGTAATAACTCATCAACAAACCTCGATTTCTTTTCTGTTTTTTTTTTTCCTTCCAAAAATAAAGAACTGCATTTAGAAATAAAGAGTGACATACGTACTACAATATAAGCGAGATAATGCGAAAAAGGTAAGACATATTCACACGTGATATGTGCATCAAATGTAAGATCTTATTGAGGAGAACGAGCAGACTCTCGTACATTTGATATAGCGTACGTGAGTGTAATAGTGCTCTAACAAGTTTTATTGTTAGAAATTAGTGGGCTTGATGAAATTATATTAATTTTTATGTTTGTCACAATATTATTGTTGAATATGAAATAGGTTACGTGGGTTGAACATGTGCACGTGGATGATAAGAGCCAAACCAATAGGCTGTATAGGGATCTCGTATGCGGTAGTCATAACATCGCATATGGAGCTGAAAGATGGATTCTTACACTCAAACGAATGTGTGAGAGATTCACTTATTTCTCCAAGCTGCCAGAAACTACTGCAACGGCCGATAACGGATTTGGTAGAGGTACTTCATTATTTTCATCATCTTTTTTTTTTTTTTTTCAATTAATATGTAAGTCTAGTTGTATTTTGTGCTTATTTGTTGTTTTTTTTTAAAAAAATTAGCAGAGGGTTTAATATATGATATGATTTCTAGTAGATACGGCCAACCAATTGAAATATGTTAGTTTTGTTTTAATACTAGTTACATCCTCTCTCGTCATTTTTTTTTTTTGAAAACTGATTTGCACTTCTATTTTCTATATAATAAACATTAGTGAGGGGGCTTGGCACGGAAATGATTTCTAGTAGGCGTTTTCCTTTTTTTTTTTTTTAAATTTATAAATGTAAGGCTAATTATGCATCAATTCTGCAGTGATAATTATGGCTGAAGGCAAACAAAGCGTAATGAATCTTAGCCATAGAATGGTGAAAAACTTCTGTGGGACGTTGAACATGTCAGGTAAATTGGATTTCCCTCAGCTAGCAGAGGTGACCAATAGTGGGGTTCGAGTCTCCGTTCGCGAAGCCACAGAAACAGGCCAGCCTAGCGGCATAATTGTTGGCGCCGCCACCTCTCTTTGGCTTCCTCTTCCTCCTCAGGCTGTCTTTGATTTCTTCAGAGATGACAAAACCCGATTCCAGGTCTAGCTCTTAATTGAAATCTACATTTATTGATATGTTATATATGAGTAAAATGGTTACCTAATTAAATTAATAATTAACGTGTACGTACATGTGATTAATTTGGCAAGCACGACATAACTTATTGCAAAGAATGTTGTGTGCTTAAGATTCTTATAATTATATATTTGTGAAGATCATGCAACGAATTCAAAGGGAATAATTAATCATTATGTTTAATTGATTATGTTATACCCCCCCTTTTTTTGTCTAAATTATCAGTGGGACGTCCTTAGCAATGGTTATCCAGTGCATGAGATAGAACACATCTCAACTGGAGCTCATCCAGGAAACTGCATATCCATCATTCGGGTACGTAATTAATTTCTTAGTTCTCTATTAGATTTGGCTTCCATGTCTTCGCTTTTCATGTCCCATTTCATATCCCTACAATAATATCATATATACTACTTCAACTAAAAAAATAATATTTAATGTAGTATGATATCATAAGAACACGGTAGAGGACATGACAGGGGATTTATAATTTCTACACCATAGTTATTACCGTCAATCATCAATCTCTTTTTTCGCTAATCCTAATTATCTAGTTATAATGAAACGACAAATTAGATACAAATAACCAAGTGTATGCTTTTTGTTTAATTGATTTCATAATAGATATTGATGCGATCTTGTCATTTTAATTTATTTAAAAAAAAAAAAAAAACTGATTTCATTTACATTGTATGAGGCAGCCGTTTATCCCAACTGAGAACAACATGTTGATGCTGCAAGAGAGCTGCATAGACCGATTGGGGTCCCTGATAGTATATGCACCAATTGACGTAACAACTCTCAACATGGCAATAACTGGCCAGGACTCCTCTGCCATACCAATCCTCCCCTCTGGATTCATAATCTCTGCCGACGGCCGCGGCACAAATCACCGCTCTACCAAAGCCGCGTCGACCAGTTCGAGCGGGACAAGTGGCAGCTCCTCATCAGGTGGATCACTTCTCACCGTGGCTTTCCAGATATTGGTTTCATGCAAGCAGCTAAACGTGGAGTCCGTTGCAGCCGTCAATACTCTCATCAGCTCGACGGTTCAGAAAATCAAATCTTCCTTGAACTGCTCTAACGATCTGGATTGATTAATTCTAATTAATCCAAACGATCGATCGATCTTGGCCTGTTTGTGAAGATGGAGATCATCTTCTGTCGTCTTTGCTTTATAATTTTTTTTTTTTTTTTTTTTTTTTTCAGTTTTACCTATGAATGAATAATAGTGTCACATTGTGGCTAACTACATATTATATTTCTTCTAATCATAAATGAAACATTTTATTGAGACAATTTTGAGTACAGGGACCTGCACTTTTCAATATTTTCTAGACTAATGCTGGAACTTTGGACGAGCTACCCGTGATCGCCCGAAAACACCGATTTTGAGCCTGATGTCTGAGTCCACCTGTCCAAATTTTTTGGGCCGCCCGCCCAAGCCCGAGAAGGCCCTTGGACGGGTCACGGACCTAGTTTTGGTTGTCTGAGCCCGCCCGAATGGCCTGAAAAAATATATTTTTATTATATTTTTTAATTTTTATAATATTGTATATATATTATATATAATATACTATTATTTAGTAATTGTATTTGTATACAAATAATTATTAAGTTGTTTTGTGTTAAAATTATATAAAAATTAAAATTAACACAATTAATAAATTAATTTTATATATTAATTTTTAAATTTGTAATTCATGATTGTCTCGTTAAAAACCTTACCAAGAAAAACCCAATTGGGATAAAAACTTGGTAAGAAAAAAAGAGTGCAATCATTTTGTGACAAATTATAAATTTTACAAACTTACAAAGTCTAACTATACAATTACAATGTCAAAAGTAAATACATATTTATAAATTACAATTTAATTTGAAGCTGAAGGATCATCTTCAAAATTAAATGTTAATCTATTAAATTCATCGATCTATTCTTGACTTGCTAGCGAAATTGTATCCTGTAAACATTGATCGGCACGATCCCAATCCTTAATGCAGGCCAAGGCTTCAACAATGTCCCTTTGCAATGCGTTTCGGCGTTCCTCAAGTATTCGTTCGGTAGTACTGAAGGCTTGTTCGGATGAAACAGTGGAGACTGGGATCGAAAAAATATCCATTACCAATCGAGTTAGGACTGGCCAAGTTAATGCTCGTGCCCTCCACCATTAAGCTAAATCAAACAAATCTCCACTACTGTCGACTACTAAACTCTCACTGAGGTACGCCATAAGCTCATTGAAGCCGTCGTCGCTGCCACCACCTGTTGATGAAGATCCACTTCCAGCTTCTGTTTGAGTCGTCTTCTTTTTCTTCTTCAACCCGAAAACATTCATGAATGAATGCGGGTTTTCATCTGTTTGTTGTGGTTCCTATACTCCAGAGTTTGTGTTTCTAAACCTATTCTCATATTTACTATAGAGATAAAATATTTTTACCTTTATTGTCAGAAATTGGTCAGAACAATTTATGCCTAAAAATTCACCTAAGTTTTCTAAACCACTTTCTAAACCGTCTAATTTTAATCTAGGATCAAAAATAGTACCAAAACCATACAACATTGGTAATTTAGACCAATATTTTTAAATTTTATTTTACATAGAACCGATAGGAATTCCTAAAATTGGGTCCGCCCTAAATTCACTAAATAAAATACTAATTCTTAAAAGTTCACCTAAAGCTAATGGTGATGATGAGTAATATGTTCCACTAACTTTTAAAGTAACTTCATGAAACCTACCTAAAAATTGATACAAAATTTCGGCAATTTGCCACTCATATAGGTCTATATGTCATACTCTTAATTTTACATTGATATAGTTTGTTATAACATCTTTATAGGAGAGGCATTGTTGAAGTATTATATAAGTTGAGTTCCATCTTACAGGCATATCTAGGGCTAATGCTTTAGGAGTTAGATTTAATGCTCGAGGAGTTTGGGTGAGAAAAATGTGTGAGGGATGGGGAGTATTTAGAGAGAAAATTTTGGGTTAAAAAATTAATTTCTTTCCCCCCAAATTCGGATCCAACGGTCATTTTTGGTCTCGGCGGGTCGAGTTCAGGCAAAAAAATCAGGTAACAGTAAAAAAAGCCGTTAGAATCGGGCTTTTCGGGTGGCGGGTCAAGTCGGACGCTAACGTTCAAAAAACTAGCTGTTGATCGGGCTTCGGGCAATTCAGGCCAGAGGGAAAAAAATAAAAAAAAAAATTTCAGTGGTTGATGGTCGGGGCCTTTCGTCGGCGGCGGGCTTCGGCGAATCCGATTTTTGTCGGGCAGCCCGAGCCTAAAAATCTACTTGGACGGGCGGCCATATGGGCATGCCCACCGAACCTAAAAAATTCGGGCTTCGGGCAGGCCCGCCGACCCAAAATTTCAGCACTATTCTAGACCATCTAAAAGAGTAAAGAAATAATTTTTTCGTTTGCTTCAGAGGTTTAAATAAAAAAATTTGAACTGAAATTTTAATTTTGTAAGAAAAAAATTTATAATAAAAAAGTTTAAACAGATTATTAATTTTCCAACAGTACAGGTTTGCTAACATTTAATAGAAATAACGGAGTTCCGAAAGAGGAGATTGCTTTGTAGGCAATATAGGTGGGGGAAAATGGGTCATAAAGGAGCTGACTTGGGTGCTAATAATTTATCAGATTAAGGGCTTGTTCTTTTGAGTGAAAAACTCAAAAAAAGGTAACTCGAGTTATAATTTTATTCGAGTTTATGTTCTTTTAAGTTTAAACTCGAGTTTAAACTCTAGTTCAAACTCGAGTTTAGGACTAAAACTCGAGTTCAAGTTTCCCCTTCAACTCGAGTTCAGAAACTCGAACTCAAATTAATGAACAATATTTTTTCTATTCTTAAAAATGTTATAACTTTTTCGTTTTAATTCTGATTGAGATGATTTTTTTTTCTATGCGTTGACAACGAAAAGACGAATAAAACCCGATCCATATACCCTATTAAAATTTTTCATCAGCATTGAGTTTTTATTAAAATGCTATCTAAATATAAATTCAAGTTTTGACTCACTCAAACACAAACTCAAAAAAATTCTTATCTCAAACCATAACTCAAATGTACACAACCAAACACAAACTCAAGTTACAAGTTCAACTCAAATTATAATTCAAATTCAACTCAAGAATTATACTCAAGTTAAACTGTAAAAGAACAAACCCTAAGTACTTGCTGAAGTATCTATTCACTATTTTCCATAGATTGTGTACTGGTCTCCGTATTGTGGTTGCATTATCGTGAATGTGTAGTTGTTTATTTAAAACATGCGCGTTATAGCATATGTATAATCTTGACAATAAGAAATAAAAATTACAAGTGAGATTGAATTCACAACCCTAATTTAGTTCAAATTACTTTTTAGAAATAAAATAAAATCAGGTTATTTTCACTACTTGCTCTGAGGATATTTACTTGTGTCATTTTGAGTCTCGTCATTCACTTATAGAAGTCCAGCTATCATAACGCTTCTAAAACATACAGTTTGGCCCATTCCTTAATAAAATGTCTATTTTCATATGGAATCGAACAAGAAGATGACACCTTAGAAATTTAAGAGACCGCTTGTTTTTTTTATTTCAGTCCTTTTTTTTTTTTTTTTTTTTACCATTATTAAAGATATATATTTTTTAGATCTTCTTATAATTTGTTTCTTATCATTTTATCTCTTAAAACCCTATCGTGATCCTTGTGTTACATGTTGACAGTTTATTAATAGAAGGGTCAACATTCTATATCTTAAAAATATCATAGTAAGTACACCTCTGAAAGTGAATATTAAATGACAAGATGGGATAAACACATATTCCAAGTATTACTAATACTAATGGCATATTCAGCACAATAGAATGGGGGACAAAGAAAAGGACTTGCATGAAGAGCATTGGGCACTTGGCCAACCGAAAATTGTATTTTTTTTTTTTTTCCCAACCCGAAAAATCAAAGCAATTGGCCCAGCACCAGATATTTTTCTCTTTCAATATTTATCCTTACTTATTTTGGGTTGTTGTTTCTACCCAATTAAAACCCTTTTTCTTTATATTCAGCACAATAGAATGGGGGACAAAGAAAAGGACTTGCATGAAGAGCATTGGGCACTTGGCCAACCGAAAATTGTATTTTTTTTGTTTTCCAACCCGAAAAATCAAAGCAATTGGCCCAGCACCAGATATTTTTCTTTTTCAATATTTATCCTTACTTATTTTGGGTTGTTGTTTCTACCCAATTAAAACCCTTTTTTCTTTAATGAAATCGACCTTTATCAATCTCTCGGAATATTTGGTA